CGGCGCGCCAAATTCGCCATCGGATTGGGGCCCAGTTGGACACCGCCTGTCAACATCCTGATGCGTCAGATTGGCCCCCCCTTTTTGCACTCTCCGACTGAGACGTGCAGCATCGAGGCCCCGGGTGCTGCAACATCTCCAGCCAACCCTTCATCGCTAAGGTACCCATATGAAATGAAGGGGCAGCTATGACCAAGACCCAGAAGCTCGCCCGCACTCGCTATGGTGGGTCTCGGGCAGCCAGGCGTCGGGGTTTGGTTCTGGCGAGAATCTTCCGTGTCAGGTAGGACGCAACACCCGGACTCTCTGCTGCTCCTTAACCTGGAGGTCAGATTGATGTCGTACGTTGTGACAGGGCTGGAACCAAGGCGTAATCGGATACAATGGAATCATAGAAAAGTTCATTCCCCTTATGGGCCTAATGCGAGCGCTTGCGCGACCAAAATCTGTCTAGGACCATTTTACCTGCCAATCACAATGTAATAAGGGCATCGTGAAGTCATAAAAATCCAACCCCCACCTCATCTGGTGTCTCCCCTTTTGTATCCCGTTTCGGCAACTCAGTTTCCGGCCGCCTCTACCGCTAGCCTGGCCTCGATTTCCATCGCACCCAGCATGCCTTGCTCTATCTCGGCAACCGAAGCTCCGTTTTCATCGAGCCGCGTGAAGGGCAGGCGCGGCTCCGCACATGATGTCTCACCCTTGCCGTGGAATAGGGGCATGGCGGCCTTGACGCCCACGAAGCCATAGCGGATGGCCAGCCAGTCCGCTCGTGCCATTTCGTGCTGAAGCTCACGCGCCTCCTTTAGCAACCCGCGGTCGAACAGCTCGCCGATGCGCACACACGCGCGCGGCGCAAGATTTGCGAAGCCGCTGATTGTCCCGTGCCCCCCCACAACGAGACCTTGCAAGATGAAGTCGGCGCTGCCGCCTGCAACGAAGAAATCGTCCCGTCCACCGCGAACTTTGGGGGCGCCGGCGACTACGCGAGCCAGCTTGCCCGTGTTGCCACATGTGAGCTTGACGCCAACAACGCGGGGATGGGTGGCGATGCGAAGCAGCGTGTCCGAGTCGAGGTCTACCCCGTTGGCGGCGGCGGGGAAGTTGTAAATAAGAATGGGTATTGCCGAGCGCGAGGCAACCTCGTGAAAGAAGGAAACGATGGCGTCTTTGCTCAGGATGCTAGAGTAATATCCGGGTGGCAGGACGAGGGCGTGGGTGGCGCCAGCATCCTTTGCCTCTTGGCAGAGTTCGAGCGTTTCCCGCAAGGATTGAGCGCCGCAACCCGCAATAATGGGCACGGGGGCGTGGCTGTCGGTCTCGTGCCTCACTGCGTCGGCTACGGCTTCGATGACCTCGTGGCGTTCACGGCGGGACATGTGTACGGCCTCGCCGTTGGAGCCGTGGACGACAAGACCGGCCACACCAGCCGCCAAAAGGCGAGCCGTGTGTCGTTGGGTCGCGGCTACGTCAATGCCATCGGTGGGTGTAAAGAACGCTAGCATGGGGACATAAACGCCACTGGGCAACCGGCCCGTTTGACTTTGTTCTTGGGGGTAGTCATCGTGGGTTTGACTGGTTGGGGTGGTAGCCATGTTGAGGTCACTCATGGGATCCATTGGACCCTGTGGTTGCTGGGTTGCTGGGTTGATGGGTCCGAGACAAGATTTAGCAAAGAAGCAGAGTTCGAACCAAGAGGCTGGAGCTCGAATGATAATAACAGTAAGATGGAGGGTGCAGTGGATGGGTAGAAGTGACGTTGGTGGGGGAGGCGGGAACTTAAGTAGCGGGTAAGGTTCGGAGAGGGGAGGGAGGCCATGGGGTAATGGGGCGGTCATCGTGGCACGAGGGCAGAAGAGCACTAGGGCGATCAATTGGCAAGATTGACATGGAAATAAAGGGAAGAGCAAACAAATGGTAGCCAGTCGTAGCCGATTGAGGCTCCATCCCAAGAGACCTGGTAGCCACCCCAGGCGAGAAACCCCTTGGCTAGCGAGCGGGTTGGCTGGTCGTGGGGGTTGAAGTGCTGGGCTCGATCGCCAATTCTGCCAGGCCTCCGACCTCCTTGCCTCCTTGCTGCTGGGCAGAGGAGACAGAAGAGAGTGTTACAGCAGCGCTCGAGCAGTGTGCCAGTATCGTCGACGCCACACCATAGGCACAAGGGCCTGCGTGGCATGTTAGAGGCCAGTTGAGGTGATCACAGGAAACATCGGGACCCGCAAGCACCCCTCACTGCGTTGAAGCTTCGAATACGAACAATGCCCGGGTTGTGGTCAGTCGCGTCCATTGCAATCGCATCAATCGCAATCGAGCCGGGCGCAAGCGGCGGTGAGGCCGACCTGCAAGACCCCAGAAGCCATGGCGATGGCGTTTTCTCGACACTTCGCCCCCGACACCTCGCTCCAAGAGGTGTGTGCTGCCCGTGCTGTTTGTTGGGGTCATGGGACCTGGGGCATGCAATGTGTCAACATGGTCGCGGTGTTACTGCTTGCCAGTGAGCAAGACGGCCATTCGAAGGATAAGCTGCGACACCAAACCGGTGGTCCCGGAACGACGCACTATTCTAGAATCGAATCGCATTTTTGGGGGTTGTTTTTTTGGCCTTTGGCGGGGCGGGCTGGTGGCGTCTGCTGCCCCCTCTCGGTCGAGGTCGGGTGTGGTTTCCCTAGGCTCGAGCTGACCCCCACGGCGCTTGCTTAAGATTGACAGCAGCGAGATTTCGCTTTCCTTGCAAACCCGCCTTTCTCACCCCAGGTGCCCAGGCTGCTGTGCTGCTTTCGCTGCTCAATGGCGAGGATGGCCGCACTTTCAGGGGCAAATTCCTGCATGACGACCAAACCAAAAGCCACCAGTCCCGACAACCTCAGACCAGTGTATTGCGCCGCCCTGTGAATGGCCAATCGACACAGCATCCGCAGGCCGCCCGGGGCGCTGTTCTTGTTTGCGGCCCCTTAGTGGCCTTGCTAACGCCAAACGGCCCCCGGTCTATTTCCAGGGTTTCCCCAAATCCCAACCGGCTGGTAAAAGTGGTCTTCGAGCGACACCAAGCAACGACAAGACCCGACCTTTCTGTTTAGTTCTACTCATTTGGCCACTGGCCATCGGCCACACGATCGAGGGGGGTGGGGTTTGCCGTGCGCGTTAGACTCTGGACAGCACCATTGGCAGGAGGACTCTACGGGCGATGGCATTTACGGCGTGTGCTGAAATGTCAGCTCAGCCCAGCCCACTTGACGGCTATGACGCACTCTCATTGGCCCTCCTCCGATCACAATCCTGCTTCTCGGGGCCTTGTCGCTGCTCCTTGTTGGGGTGTCCTTTGTCGCCATTTTCGGTTTTGTACGCGGCTCGAAACGGCAGAGGACGTTGAAACGCCAGAGCGATTCGTTGGATCTCCTGCAGAACGGGATCCTCACGTGAGACGAACCTATCTTGGGGCGTGGGGGTTGGCTAGGGTTGGGCCGGGATCTGGGACCCTTGCGAGTGCCACGATTGGCTCTTGTCTTGACGCTGCCTTTCGCATTGTGAGGTCATTCGACCACCCAAAGCTGAATCTTTATCACCAATCGTTTGCCCCATCACCTGCTGTTGGCAGTTGCAACCAGGTTGTTTGCGCTAGCCATCGTGGCATCCCAGCTCCTTTTTGGTTATTTTGTCGTCTTGTCCGACGGTTGCCTCGATCGCTTTTTTTGCAGTCGCATGAACCTGCTGAGAGCCTTGGCTTCGTCTCGATTCGACACGCGCCAATTCTCGTCTGACGAATTTGTCGAAAGCGCTGGCGCCGTTCTCTTCCGTCTTTCCACCCGAGAGGTTTGCGTGCTCCATCTTCTTGAGCGCAATGAATATGTTTTGGCCAAGGGACGCCGAAACTGCGGAGAAACTCGCCAGGCCACACACAGCGCTACGTGAAGAGACTGGGTTTATATGCCGTCTGCTACCCACGAATCTGACGTCCCGCGCCCCCCCCACGGGCAGTCGAAACAGAGTCATCTAAAGACGAGCCGCGCTTGCACATCGCCGTTTGCGAGCCGTTTACTTTGGAGCTCCGTTGTTTGTGGGAGAATAACATTAAGCTGATATGGTGGTTCATCGCTGCCGTTGAGAAGGAGCCGCCGGTCGTCGAACCCAAAGATCGGGGCGAGGATAGCCTCAAATCCAGCCCTGTCTTTTGCAGCTATATAGATGCTCTGGAGCGACTGACGTTCCAAATGGACCGCGACATGATCAAGGGAGCAATTAACTTGGTTACAAAGACCTTCCGCGACGGAGGAGCCAACTTGTGTTCGCCTGATGCCGAAGTCTGTTGAGCCGTATATGCGCCCAAACCTTGACTAGGTGCCGTTTGCTGTACTAGGTGGCGAGAACTAGACTGGCGGCTTGTGTCGTACTATTGGATACCATCTAACCTCGCCTCTGCGTCGTTGTTCCAGCTAGCTGTCCAGTTTCCACACAACGCCCCCAAACGGTGGCGACAGCCATAGAGACATTGTTGTATCTCTTGAGTCACTGCCGACCGAGGTTCGGCTCTAGATTCTGTCTAGTTTGCTTGATACATATCCCAGGGAGGATTTCGTCGACGAGAGAGTCTGGTGTCCGATGTCGATGGCGTTGGTCCGTACCTTTACTAGCTCACACACCGCAGTGACGTGCTGCTCACGAGCATGTCCCAGAAAGGGTGCATTTTGAATAGGTCCACAGGGCATGTTGGCACAAAGGCATGGGAGTCATCGAGATGAAGTGATCCTGTACAAGGGAAACAGACGGATGCTGACTCGGCTGTGAGACTCGGCTGTGAGAGGCGGTGGAGGAGTACATGGAAGGAAAAGAAGGGTTGGCCTCGTTTACATCACCCAAGAAAGACCCGATTTCCTTCCGTCCTATGGCAGATACTTCTTGCTTCTTCCCGTAGTTAATAGAATGAAAGAACTGTGGAAATATTTCAACTTATAGCATGGCATCGAAGCAAAAGGCTAATTGGGAATAGTAGCAAAACTTTAATGTGCGGTTTATGTGGATCGAACACATGACCTTCAGATGGATGGGTGAAGTTTGACTTCAGTCTGACGCTCTCCCAACTGAGCTAAACCCGCCCTTTTTGGTGGAGATGCTAGTTTTAATCATGCGCCAAGCGTTACTCGGGTAGTGGGGCCTCATTGCTGTCCTGACACGGCCGGGCAGTTTGTTCATAGTAGCGATCGAGGAGATAAACACCTGGGTGTAAAAAGCAATCAACGGGATGCGCTAGTCCGTACTTGAGTACTGTGGAGAAAGTGTTGGGTAAGATGAAAATGATTGGAAACGACTCACTGCCTAGCATTGTCTCTGGTGGGTAGGGAAAGTGGAGCCCAAGGAAAGAAAACAAACCCCTGAATGGAAAGACAAAACTCATTCCTTGTTGGGTCCCAGGTCAACATGCATCGGCCCAGGCCACAATGCCGCAAGGGAGTGCCAACGCCTCTCGGCGATTCTTGAGCTCCCCAACCCCGGGCTGCCAAACATCGAAAGCTCTCGACCCTGAGGCTCACTCTGCAGAGTTCACCTCCTGAAGTGTATAAAGCCGCCATATAATACTCAATGCTGGTGGCTGTTTCGTCGTGTCAACTCACCCGACAGCTCACGGCCGACAGCAAGCCCGCAACGGCGGCAAGCCTTCAGGTTGTGTCTAGATGTGATGGATAAGTACCCAAATTATGCCACGTATCAATCTAATAAACTCCACCAGTGCCCAAGTCTCACCGATGACCCCAAAGGACCGAGCAACTCTGCCACTGAGTTAGCGGGGATGAAAGCGGGCGAGCTGCAGAAGTGGCTTCAAAGGGCAAGACCACCACGCCGCCAAATGCCTCTAGTCAAAGACTTGAATGGAAATTCGAGGTCGATAACTTGCAGGAACTCGTCGCAATGGCCACAGCGAAGCTGGTATTGCCAAGGTACCCTCATCTGCCGTTCCTGCTTGTATGCTGACCTTATGCTTTCCGGTAACAGGTTCTGGGCCGTTCGAAAAATGCAGCCTACGCCAAAAAGCAGAGGCTCGTGAGGAGAGACAGGGCGAGAAATGGCAAAAGAATCGCCAAGGTGCCCGAGGAGAAGAGGAGAAGAGGCGGAGCGAGTGGCAAAAATGCAGGAGGGATAGTGCGTTGAATTCCTTCAGCTCCTTCAACTCGGAATGGTGAAGAAACCTGAGCTGAGCAGACCAGGCCTGAGGTCAGGCCAAAGAGAGTAGACCACCATGTACATCTGCCAATGCAGCTATTGTGACACGGGCAATGATTCAGCTCTCAATCATTATAAGATTATAACGCCCCCCCCCCCCCCGCAGAAACAAACCGTCCACTCATGTTCCAGGGAAGCCCAGTGATTACGCTTCGGCACAACATGAAGTGATCAATAATCCGTCCTCGACTCCGTCACTTTGACCATGAAATTCTCCTCCACCCAAACCTGCCATGATTTCGAATCCCACGGCTTGGTTGGGTTAAGGAGCTGAAAGTCAAAGTGGCGCAGCAGCTCAAAATACACCTTGTACAGCTCCAGCCAGACCACATTCTTGCCGATGCACATCCACCGCCCATAGCCAAAGATTAGTTCGACGTTGCGCTCCATCTCCTCGCGCTGCTCCTCGCTCACTTCCAAGAAACGCCCGGGACGGAAGAGCGCCGCATCCTCTCCCCACAGTGTCTTGGACGCCAGCATGGCCGATACATTGGCACCCACACCGACGCCGCCGGGGATGAATTTCCCGTCAATGTAGTCGCCCTCGGGCGGCACTGCCTTCAGGAACAGACCTGGCGTAGGCGGGCGCATCCGCAACCCTTCGTAGATCACGGCCTGTTCCAGCGAAGTGCTAAGCATGGGGAAAATCGAGACAACCGAAGTACTAGTAGTGAGAAACATACCTGCAGATATGGGATGCGTCGAGCTTCTTCGTATGTGATGGGGTTGGACGCCCTGCCTTCGCGGATGGCGCTGAAGATCTCGTGCTTGAGCTCCAGGTAGACCTGTGGGCTACTGATGATGTGGAGGAGTGTGCACCGGATTGCGGTGGACGAGTTATCAGCGCCCGCTGTGATTAGAAAGATGCACTCGTGTTCGCACTCGTCTTGGGTTAGGCCATTTCGAATGAAAGCTCCCTGGACCAGAAGCATGGTCAGTATGTGGCCATATCTACTGCTCAGTCGGCTCGCATCTTCATACCAGCATGTCCCGTTCATCCTTCGCGCCTGGGCTGTATCGTACATCGACAATTTCGGCCGCTAGTCTGAAACGCTACCGTCAGATGGGAGTCTCGATCTTCGGTCGACCGAGTGACGCACCTCATGAGCCTGCCAAAGCCGCCTTTGTCTGTCTTTTTGGGGCCAAAGAGTTTGATAAACGTGTCGCCATACACTAGATTCCGGATCCAGGGTATGTCGAGGGTCAAGCCCACGATCCACCATAATGAGCGCAGCTCGCCCAGGAAGTTGAAGAGGTCCGAATCGGTCCGAAGATAGCCAAATGCTTCACCACATCCGACCTTGGTGATGACATCCAAAGTGAAGTAGGAGCAAATGAGTGCCAAGTCAAGCTCATGGAAATTCTTCTCGTCCGAGAGGTACTTGCGTCGCACGAGGTCGATCATGCCTTTGATCTGCCCCTCGATGGAGCCCTCGAGTCCGTCGACGTCTTTCCCCGAGTAGGCGCCGATGACCCGAGCCTTCATAGCGTCGTGACCCGGGGGCTCGAGCTCGTTGAACATGTGCTTAGTATAGGGGTTCCATCGACCGGCGAGGTACCACGGGTCTCGGTTGTAGCGGCTTCGAACCGAGTTGAGCCTGCGGATGACTTCGGGGTCATCGGTGGTGACGGCGTTGGGTGCGATGCGCACTAAGGAGCCGTATTGGTGAGGTAGATCTCGGTAGATGTAACCCATGCGCCCACTCCGCTGAACCTTGGTGAGCCATAGGTAGGAAATGTGTCCAAGGATTGGTCCTGGAATATGCCTCATCCGCCACCACGAATAGAAGGCCGTGGCAACATGGTAGACAACAAGACCCGCAGCGACGAGCAAGCCAAGCGTGCCTAGCGACACTGGTAGCGCGGACGGTGCCACAGATGCAGCAAAAACCATGGTGAGCTCCTGGCGAGCTCCTGACGAGCTCCTGGCGACGTATGTCTAAAGTCTCTGGCTGGTGGCAATGCTGAGGACGGCGGGCCGAGGTGATACTGGATAGGAATGGTCGACCCTGGATTGAGACTCGTGTGGGTTAGCATAGCGGACCACGCTCCCCATGGCGGCCCCTCAATCCAACCTCTTCCCCAGGTTCTTATCGCCGTCCGAGCTCCCCGTGGTGCCCCAGGAACCGCATTTGGCCCAATGGCGCGAAGGGTGCATGATTGAGCAGTTTGTGATGGAACAAGCCATGTTATACTGGATAAAAGCATGGTGGTGTGCATCGACGGGTGGTCCATGTGCTGGGTATGCAAGGTGAATGGTCACAAACGACATTGAATGGCTGCGAAGAGCCGGGGTAGCGATCCGACCTCCGCGCGGCCTGTGGCTATCAGGGATGCAGCTCACCGATTCCATAATGTCTGTCGATACCCCGATTACCCTGCCAGCCACCCCAAAGCGCGAGCCCCGACATGGCCAATTCTGACATTGCGACATGGAATAGGGAACATGGAGCATCGCAAAACCTCTCGGTTCTCCGCTCCCTCTCGCACACGCTAGACCCGGCAGCTTGGTTGACACCGTCGGAAGGGGGTTAGTAAGTTTCAGTGGAAGGTGGCCGTTGTCGGCAGCTGAAGATGTGCCCATCACACACCCATGAACACCCTAAGGTAGGGTAGTGCCGTGGACGCTGAATGTTGCCGGGTCGCAGAATTACCAATAGTCGCTTGTCCCTCGTCCTCCATCTCCCCATCTCACCCTAGTAGTTCGTTTCCACACAGGGCGCTTCTGGCGGCGAGTGGCGGGATGGAGCTGGGTCCCTGTGTGCAGGTTAGCTGGCAATGCTGGCAATCACAACACATCTTGGGCACATCCGTGGCATTTATAGAGAATGGTGTGACACATCATCAGTGCCAACACACCTACCGCCACCACCAACTTTATTTCGCGCGAGAACTGCCAGGTTGTGAGATTAACGCGACTCGAGCGAAATTCAAAGACCGTTATCGCCTCTGCTTTGGTGCCTTGGCCGTTGGTGTCATCATGGTGCTACTGGCGGCAGACCGGTTTGAGCCGTTTGACCCCAAGTCCAGACGCGGTATACACCGCATCATTGAATCACCGAATAGAGGCCTTCCATGCAGCACAGATATATGCAGCACAGAGATCTATGCCTTCGCAGTAAGATCCTCCCCGTGAGACCTTGGACGGCTCGTGAGATCCAATCCGGTTTCGACGGACTACGACCTCCTCTTGTTTTATGAGCTGGAGACCTGCTCAAGGCGAGCTTGAGTTCCGAAGGAGCGAGGAAGTCGGGCATCTTGGAGCCTTTTGGGCACCAGCATGCAGGCGTTGAAGGTCACAGGACGAGGACGATAAGTAGGACAGCAGCTAGCAGCTTGCATGATGGCGGCGGCGCAGATCCTCCTTGGACCACTGGCGAAATCTCAACCCGCGTGCCCGCCAGAAGCTGCGCGACACCACCTGCAACCAACGCTCGGGCCAATGGATGGAGAGATTTGGAAAAGCCTCGCTCGAGAGGACAGGAGATCCCCGGGTGCTCTTCCCGTGCAGTCGTGCAGTGTCACCTAGGCCATGCTCGATGGTCAAGAGAGGGCCCGCGGGCAATGCGACCTGACCCTAGGGCACACTGCTTCCAGATTTGTTGAAGCTGGGATGCCACAAAGGTTTGGCCGCCACTAACCGACTCGGAGAGCACTTGCCTTGCTAAATCTTCGGTTTATTAGTGCGTGGGCGAGGACGGTTTCTCTTGGAAAGACACACTGTGCGGGCTACGTATTGCTCTGGTCAAGGTTGCCTGCCCGGCCCAAAGACGATGCGGACCAAAGGTCGCTGCAGAACTCCCACGTCCACTGCAGAGGGTGACGACGGCTTGTCTGATGCGCGTCGACGTGTTTTGGTACTAGTCCACCAGCACTC